TTGTTAAATTTTTGTTTATTTTTCTTTGGATTGTGTTAATGATATTAAGTCTTGCTCACTTTATTTGCTGTAGTTTTCTTTGGCAAGTTCTAAGCCATCTCACTTTTGACCTGGCGTGGAGAGATCTTTAAAGTATCTTCATTTGGCCTCAGTGTTGTAATATGCTCCTGTTAGTGGTGAGTTGATAGCAACGAATTTGTTTCTATAAGATTCTGTAAGATTAAAGCATCACACTTTTAAAAGTGTTTACTATTTTTAAATTTGATAATGTGACTTGCATTTCAACAGGATTTCTTGAGTGTGCTTGAAATGGGGTGACATAGTCCTGGTACAGAAAATTGCTTACATAATTAGGGTGTCATCCCTGAGTGTCACTGTGGTGCAAGGCCATTGCAAACTGCTATTCAGAGGGTAAAATGAGAAGAAAAAGAAACATTTAAACAGAAACAGTTGTGATTAACAGGACATGGACGGACACACACACACACACAGCATTGAAGCAGCTGCCACGGGAATTTTGAGCAGAGCAGAGCGTTCCCCATTTGCTTTGGCTTTATTTTATTGGCAGTGTTGTCCAGAATTGGTGACACAAGTCAAGCCATGATTCTTCTGATCCTTAATTGGGCTGTTCAGCTTTACCATCTTAATGATCAAGCAGATATACTTGATAGCTGCAGCCAGACAGCTCTCAGTATTGTCTTTCTGGTCTCAAAATATTGGGTGAAAGTGTGACCTAGAACATTAGTGTCAGAGGGTTGGGTTTCTGAGGCTGTTTAGTACCAAACTCCTTAAACTGGGATATGGACACTGAGGATATTCCAGGCCCTAGAGTCAGTGTGATACATTAACCCTTGAACTTGGTAGAAGAAAACTGTCCAGTCATCTTTTTTTTCATACTTAAAAAATGGACGTAGCAGAGTAGAATGCAGAGTATGTTGAATTTTAAAGGTTAAAAAGTTTTCAAGATTATCTTTGAAAAAGATACTTCAAGTTGGGCCTCAGGAGACCCTTCCCATTTTTTTCTCCTCTGTTCCTGAAAAGACCTATATGCATTTGATTTTTCATTAATTCACAGCTCAAATGAACAGTCACTGGCTACCCTTGTTAAGAGTTTTGGGGATTGTGTGAGGATATAATGAAACACTGGAACCTGAGTAAACTAGGTAGCCATTATCCAGTAAGCAGTTAAACTACACATGTTTGAAAAACCTGAGTTTTATCAAGAGGAATTTTGCTCGGGGCGCCTGGGTGGCTCAGTGGGTTAAGTGTCTGCCTTTGGCTCAGGTCATGATCCCAGGGTCCTGGGATCAAGCCCCACATCGGGCTCCCTGCTTGGTGGGGAGCCTGCTTCTCCCTCTCCCTCTGCTGCTCCCCCTGCTTGAGCTCTCTCTCTCTCTCTGAGAAATAAAATCTTAAAAAAAAAGAATTTTGCTCTTGGTTTTGAAGAAAGCGTATTAGTCCCTTTTGTTTTCATAAGCAAGCAGTGAATTATAAGTAATTCCAGATATAGGAAGAAAAACTTCATTGGTGTAGATAAGAGCCATCTGGCTCAAGGAAATCTGTTGTGTGGGTCTCTTTGTCATGAGTGCCCTTGAAAATGTAGAGATGTACTTGAGTTAATTACTGTAGAACAGTCATGATAAGAGATTATGAATTCATTGTAACTGAGGCTTTAAAAGATATTTTCATCATGATTTTATACTAATCAAAACTTTTTAATGTTCTTACCTCTTCATTGGTAATTCAGTAGAAATAAGTTGCTATTCCACGGTGTGACCACTGGGGGGTGTAGATTATTTTCATTTTTTGTGTTAAAGTCAATATAACTTGTGGCGTAAGTACTTCTATGGAACCAATTTAGCTCAACCTCAGATAAGCAGATCTCAGGTTACGACGTTTTAAGTTAATCTTTATGTCTTCTTAAGAAGCCCTTTAATACCTGGTCTCGTACCTACAGGATTAGTAGTAAAAAAAAAAAAAAAAAAAAAAAGTGTATTTTACTAGCATCATTATCAGCTGTGGAGTCTGTCCTGATTAGCATTTTAGTTTTGTTTCCTTAAGCTGGACTTTTTCTGGAAAGATATAAGTCAAGGAAAAATTTCCAAATTCTACTGAACGCTTTTTTTTTTTTTTTTAAGGTTGTTAAAGATGCTGTGTAAAAGTAAAAAGTAGTCTTTCTTGATATTCAACCATTTATTATCTTTGGTTGTAGAGAAAAAGTTTGACAGTACACTAGTGTTTTTCTTTGAAAAACCATGTGGATGATTAAGAATTATTGGTTGTAGTTTTAACTTTTATTGACTCGGTCCAAAAAGTGCCACCACTCAAGAGATGGGCCAGAACCAGAATGTCGGGTACCAACTGGGAGTCAGGTGATCCACAGCTCACCACAGGGGGAAACTGGAGGTGTGTGCCTCTTGCAGAATCAATGTTTGGAAGATGAGCTCATCGTGTCCGGGTCCATGGTGCATGCCCACTTGCAGTCAGAACATTCTGTGAGTCATCAGTCCAAACAGTGAAACAGTCAGTACCTAGACTAGCAGGAAATTGAAGTGACTGGCCTAGGGCCTGGTTGTTTTGTAAGAGGCGTTTGAGGTGAAGTTTACCTGAAGAGAGTTCATACCCACCAACCTCTGGCTCTTACTACCTCTCTTCTGTTAGCCCTTTGTCTTTCCTTCTCGTTGACCTTTATTCTCCTTTCCCTAGCACTTTGTCTTCTGGTCTTAACCTGGCATCATGGGAAGAAAACAATGAACCAGAAATCAGGTCTAAGTGGGTGACCTTGGACTAACTGCCTGATTTCTTGCTGGGCCTCAGTTTACTCACTTTTTAAAAAAGATTTTATTTGGGGTGGGACGTTGGGGAAGGAAATGAAAGGGGGAAAGAATCTCAAGCCGACTCTGCTGAGCGCAGAGCCCGAGGCAGGGTTTGATCTCCCCACCCTGAGATCATGACCTGAGCCGAAACCAAGAGTGGGATGCTCAACCAGCTGAGCCACCCAGGTGCCCCTCAGTTGACTAACTTTTAAAATGGATAAAGTTTTTGTTTTTCTCTTTTCCCTGTATCTTTATCCCTCCAATTGCCCTCCTCCTCAACAGTTTTCCCTTTCTCCAGTCATTCCATCTATATATTTTCTCATCTCTTTCAAGTTTTATTTTCTCTGCTTTTCCTTTTCCCCCCTTCCTCCTCTTATGTAGTTTCTCCTTAATCTTCTTTCTCGTTCTCTTACTTACCTTTCTCCCTGACGTCTTATTTCTCCTTTTATTATTTTCCTATTAGCAGCACCCCAATATCAGTTTTTATCTTACTACCATCTGATGCTGGGGATCCAGAACTGCCGTAGGACATGGAGGGAAAAGTTTAAATTCTTACACGTTGTGTAATATTTAGACCAAAAAAAAAAAAAAATCACTTCTCTTTTAAAAGGAGGAATTTGTGTTCCCTGATGTATACAGAGTTAGATTACGAGCACCCAAGGGCACTTTCATGTACTCCAGGCTCACATTTATGTCTCGTAGGCTGGGCAGCAAGCAGTATAACATACTGAATGCAAGATAAATTTTTTGCCATTTCTCATATTGGTGAAATTTGTTTTTAATTCTGTTTAATATTTTTATTATATATCTTGGTGGTGTATTGCTGTAGTAAACATTACCAGGCTCCCTTTACTTGGTCAAACATTTGGAAATACTGTCTTTTTGTGATGTTTAGAGGTAGAGGAAAAAGTTTAATAATTTGAACATCATTAAATATATGAGGATCAGCTAGTATATTGTTGATGAATTAACTCAGTACTTTTATGGAATGATGAAAAATCCTGTCATCTTCATTTCTTCTTTAGTAGAACTTTGGCTGAATGTCCTTTTTCTCCCCTTGTTCTCAAGATTGTCTCAGGGCCCTAAGGTGGTGCTTTGTCTAATAGAAATATAATGGGAGTCAGGGGCACCTGGGTGGCTCAGTCGTTAAATGTTTGCCTTCAGTTCGGGTCATGATCCTGGGGTCCTGGGATCGAGCCCTGCGTTGGGCTCCCTGCTCAGCGGGAAGCCTGCTTCTCCCTCTCCCACTCCCCCTGCTTGTGTTCCCTCTCTCGCTGTGTCTCTCTCTGTCAAATAAATAAAATCTTCTAAAAAAAAAAAATAATGGAGTCATATATGTAATTTTAAATTGCATATAGTAAAAAGAAAAAACCAGGTATAAATTTTAAGAATATATCGTATTTAACTCAGGACATCCAAAATATTATCATTTTAACATTTATGTATAAAAAATTAGATTATTTCACATTCCATTTTTATTTTGTGTGTTTTACACTTACAGCACCTCAGTTGGTTCTGGCAACATTGCAAATATAGCCACGTTGTAATGAACACAACCATAGACAACTGTATTGAATAAAATAGTATATTTTTAATTAAAAACAATATATTTTGTCCATGTGTGTTAGGTATGTTTTCACGTTTTAGAAAAATTCACTTCTAGATGTTGACTTATGGAAAGATAGAAAGGGAGTACCAGGAATATTTGAATTTTACAGTGCTGCAGTGTCATACTCTTAAATTGTTCAGTATTTTACTATATGTGAATATTATATAACAATATTAACAAATAATTTATTACTATAACTTTTTTATTATTTACAGGGCTGAGCAGGCTGTCTTCCATCCAGAATTGTGAAAACATATTGAGTCATACTGATATGACAAAAAATTGTTATTGAATTCTAGAAAGCATCTATAACCTGCTGTCTTTGGGAAGCTTGTTGATTACTTAGAAAATATATGTACATTATTTTCCCTCAAATGATTAATTTTTTATAAGATTACTTCTCTATATGTATAGTTTTTATTTCTAAAAACGAGGATGTGATTGATTTGGAGAATTATTAACTCAATCCCTGTCCTGTGTCATGGAAGCTGCAGTGACCATCATGTGATTGGGCAGGACTTGGTACCTATCAGTGTAAACACATGGCACAGCCTGTCCCATGCCCCTCCTTATCTCCTTCAGAGAGAAGGGGTTGAGGCGTTTTGAGCAAATCTTATTGGTAAAGTCGTGTATGTATTGCTTTTTTTTTTTTTTTTTTAAACCATTTCCTTTCAGTTTTAACCATATTATTGTGTCGGCAAACAGTTTGCACTCAGTTTGTCAGCAGAGCGGCTTTCCGTTTTGATAATTTAGGACTGTAACTTTGTCTCTGAAAAAAGGACATGCTTGATAAGCTAGTTCAGTTTTAAGATGTTTTACTTAGAAGATGATAGTGAAGATGCGGAGGAGGAGAAGGTTCATGAAGACTCACTAAGTAAAACTGAAGGTATTTACCATGGAAAGGCCCCTGCTGGTATCCTGGTGAGTTACATGCACCAATGTCCTGTTGACTTTGCTTGCTTGCTCAATCTGGGTAGTACTAAGAGAAGAGGACTAATGCCTTTTCTTTGGAAAATGTAGCACCATGCTACACCATCTTTCTACTTTTTTCTATTTTTTATTTAACAAATAACTTTCTGCCTAGGAAAAAATGAGGTTGCTGCTTTAAACAGAATTTTTTTAAAACTAGGTTTCAAACTAAACAATCTGGTTTTACATTTTTGCTTCTAAGTGCAGTAGTTGAGGAATAAAAAACATTTTAAAAGTTTTAGGGTTTTTACTGTCCTAGCCAAAATTTTTTGGAAAACTGAATATTTTGAAACTAGCATTTTATTCTGATATATGATACAAAAGAGTGACTGCAGTCTTTCTCCTATGATTACAAAAAAAATATTGTAAGCTTTGACATGTGGGCAAAATGCAAATTGAGGTGGTTTTTTTTTTTTAATCTAGACAAGATACAAAATAAATCATATGAAAGTGTTAAGTTCTAGAAGTCAGCATTAAGGAAATAAAATCAGGTAGATTAAGGACAATATAATTTAACTCTACCTGTGGAACCTTTTCCTTCAAAAATCTGAAGTAAATACCATGAGGTAAAGGTGTTTCTTAGGAAATTGAGGATGTATGTTTTTATGAAAACAAGTGTAAAAAACATAATTTCTAATATCTGTGGCTCATAATCAGGTTGATTTTAAAGTTATATAAATTTTTGTCACCTTTAAAAATGTTATCACATTTGTGTGCTTTTTGCTTTTTGGACTTGATAAAAGTGTACTTGTTCGGGGTTCTCAGGAACCAATGGAGCTGAACATTGTTTGAATATGAATGGAAGTCAGGTATACAGAGAGAAACTATTTTTCAGATTTCCTTTTTAATAGTATAGAGTGTATGTATATATGGATTCATCCACATTTATTGTAAAGGTCAGTGGGGAGAATAATGAATATAGCTGCATCTTTATGAATATATAAAAAATTCTTTTATTGAGCAGCACTAACACACACAAACCACCTATCTCAGGAAGAAGTTCTTATGCTATACTGGTGTTTTCTAGAGAGAGGTCAACGGGTATTTGATTAGACTGCATTTTATTAACAGTTCCCTTTTATGTTAATGTCAGAACATTCAAGTCCCATGAGTCACCTCCCTGCCCCAAGAGAAACTTTGATTTTTCTGAATGGCTAGTGTTAGGGTGCTAGATTTGATATCTGCTTAATAAGCTGTACTGATGATGTAAGAGTTAGACTTTATAACTTGGGTGTGTGTGTCGGGGGGGGGCAAGGGCGACAGGGAAAAACCTAGTTTTCAGGGTCCAGGTCCTCAGTGACCCTGATACTCCTTAACTATTCATATACTGCCTGGGTGAATGTCTCCATCTTAAAGGAGATGATTTAATGGGTTTGGAACATAAATGTATAAATCTCATAATTTAAAAAACAGAAGATTTTTGTGCTTTGTTAGAAATTAGCAATTGGAAAAAACAGTTTCCATAATTTTTAAACAAGTGAAGATAATCCCTTTATTTGGTAAGGAAAAGGCCACATTATTTCATATTTTAATATCCTGAAGTTCCAAAATAATCTGGCCTTATTTTCCACTGCTTATTTTAAACTACCTTGATTGCATTTTTAAATTAGGGCAGCATGTACTGCAGGAGTGCTTAGCCAAACTTGTAATCCTAGGAAATGCTTCTAGAATCAAGTATTTCTGTGGAGACTCTAGACAGCATCTGGACATTCTTATTAGAGATGAGAACCCATGCACAGAGGCTATGGGACCTGCTCATGGGGCAGAAGTGAGAACTTGACCTCTGTGTCTTCATGTCCTCACCGCTAGCTGCAGGGAACTCCAGGAAGCAAGTGGGCAGTGCTTCTCCATTCTTACCCCTCTGTGCTCTTTCAGAGGACCTGGGCACCAGTGTGGTGGAGTCCAAAAAGCTTATTTTTTTCGGAGAGAATTTTGTATGTTTATGTCATTTATAGTAAGATTTACTAACAAACACGGTAGTAGAAGATAGCAAGTCACCCGATAGGCGGGGCATGTGGCTTAGGGCGGTGTCTTATGCTGAGTTAGGAAATCTTCTCCCCTCAATCCCCGACCCTTAGCACATTTTGTCATTACTTCCTGCTGCCTGAAATCCTAGAATAGCACTAGGTGAATGGGTCCAAAACCAAACACTTTCCTCCAATCCAGTATCAGGAGTGTTCACAAAACTAAATATTTAGTTGTGTAGAATTTTATTTCGTCTCAGAAATGTGGTGTTACTAGGTAGGCAGTTTGGGGGAGTAAATTCTCCTAGAATCTTTTTGTTTTCACACCTCATTTGCCTCTTTAATCCTGATGCCACAGATGAGCTCAGGAATTTTGTGGAGAGTAGCATAGAGGCTGTGGCCAGAAATATGTTTAGGCTTTTTGAAAGTTATTATCCATTTTTATATTTATGCCCCCATCTGTTGTCAGAAATGACTTAGAGACATGCATACACACAACTACTCCCTAATGCTGTAGAGTACATGACTGAACTGTTAATTTAAAGAAAACAAAATTCTTTTCATTCAGCAAATATCAATTATGCCACACTGATACAGTTTTGTGTTTTTTTTGCACTTACTAATATGTCTGAATTATTTGCTGCTCTTGAGTTTGTGAGTAGCACAACTGGACAGATTTCAGCAAATGTCTATAAAAATGCTGCCTCTTGGGGCGCCTGGATGGCTCAGTCGTTAAGCGACTGCCTTCAGCTCAGGTCATGGTCCCAGGGTCCTGGGATCGAGTCCCACATCGGGTTCCCTGCTCCGCGGGAAGCCTGCCTCTCCCTCTCCCACTCCCCCTCCTTGTATTCCCTCTCTCCCTGTGTCTCTGTCAAATAAAATCTTAAAAAAAAAAAAAAAAAGCCTCTTTTAGTTTGCCCACATCCTTGTTTCTGATTACATACTCCCAGTTAGCTTAGCTGTTTCACCCAGTTGATTGGGATAATCCCATTATTGCAGATCTGATCCAGATGCTGGTCAGGCAGTTTTGTGCATAGGAAAAACAAGATGTAATCCCATCACTGTTTTTAGATGACACATGAATCAGGTGTTGGTCCAGTCTACAGGATTTGGACACAACTGTCTGAAAGGATCTAAATAAAAATCTTACCTCTCGGGAAAAACGCATATCTTTTTATATAATATTTTACATTCACATCTTAGGTATTAAATATTCAAAATCAACCCATTTGTACTGAAGAAAAAATTTTAGACACCAATTCTAGAGTAGATAATTTTTGTTCATGTTATACATTCTTATCTAATTGAAAGTAGGGAAAATAATTTTTATTGGTTATTTTTCACTCTTCCTGCTGAAAAATACTTATTTGTCCCTTCTTTGAAACCTGTTGCATAATCTAGAATCATTGAGCTCTTAGGATACTTAGGGAAGATATTTTTCAAAGGGTGGAAATAAAAGTATACTGATCTTAATGTTAGAATACCATTTTAACTCTGTGATTAAAAATCATGTTTAGAACTTTGTATGCCCTTGGTGTACTATCTTAATCCTAGCTGTATCTAGACCTTCATCAGAAATTTGCCTAAAGTGAATCCCAGGAAAACCTGAAGGGAGAGTTATGTAATCTCCAGAATGTTACTGCATTCTTTTGAGACTTATCTAACTCCACTTGAACTGCAGATAGAGGCTATCGTAGGTTAGAGGTCAAGGGGCAGTAGTTAAGATTATATAAGTCATCTGTCATCTTTTATAGTCTAACAAAGCATGAAGTTATAACCATTATAGACTGATAATTCAGAACATAATTGGAAAAGTAAGTCCTCCTTTTGGGAAAGTGAGGCAGGAGAGGAATAGGAAGTACACCCTTCAATTCTGTTCGTTCCCCATACAGTGAGTTTTCAAGAGGGGACTGGGCATTGATGCCCTTGCCTGTAAGCTGCCATTTGAGGGTCTCTTGGGGCTTTAAAAAGTACTTGTACTTAGAATCTAGGGGCGGTGGCCTGGTCATCAGGATTCCTCAGAATTCCTCAGTGATTCAAGTGGCAGCCAGGGACAGTGATTCCCAAGTCTGACCAACCCCTGGAACCCTTGCTGAACTTCAAATATACACCAAAAACAAAAAAACAAAAAAAAACAAAACAGATTTAACAATTAAAGGGGGGTAGTGGAGCCTAGGAATTGTTTTTAGTTTAACTTACAGGGGTGCCTGGGTGGCTCAGCTGGTTAAGCATCCGACTCTTAATTTCAGCTCAGGTTATGATCTCAGGGTCCTGGGATTGAGCCCGAGTCAGGCTCTGTGCTCAGTAGGAGTTGGCTTGGGGATTTCGCTCTCTCTTCCTCTGCCCCTCATGTCCACTGCTCACACTCGCATGCTCTCTCTAAAATAAATAAATCTTAAAAAAATAAAATAAAATACAGACTTTATTCGTATTTTTTTTTTCCACTAAAGTTGTTTTTCTGTTTCGGGATCAAATCCAAAATCCCAGCTTGCTCTTGGTAATGTCACAGTAGTCTGGCAGTGACAGTTCCTCAGTCTTTCCTTGTGTTTTGTGACCTTAACACTTTTTAGTGAGTACTGGTCAGCTATTTTGTAGAATTTCCCTCAGTTTGAGTTTGTCTGATATTGTCTCCTAATTAGATGGAGGTCATGTATTTTTGGGAAGAATACCACAGACATGATGTCATATCAGGAGTTCCGTGATGGCGGTATGTTTTATTACTGGTGAGGTTTCCCTGATTCACTTGATTAAGGTGGTATCTGGCAGGTTCCTCTACTGTAAAGTTAATGTTTTTCCTTTTGTAATGAATATATGTCTTGGGGGGAGACTTTGAGAATATACAAACATCCTGTTTCTCCTCAAACTTTTGTCCTCTATTTTTAACATCCATTGCATGCCACAGTTATTAGTGTGGTATTCTAATAGTGGTTTTCTATCTCCCTCATTTTGTATTAATTGGAATTCATCTTTAAAGAGAAAGCTGCCCCT